ACAAAACAGAATAAACAATTCATTGCAGTGGAAAACTTGTTGTTTAGTCATTGAGAAAATATTGGGAATTCTACAATTTAATCATTCAAGTGCATCAGACACACAGAGCTATTTTGTTGACAGAGTTACTTAATAAGGACCCGAGTTTCTGTTTGAAATCAATTAGGACTAGTACTTCTAGCAGTCTTGAAGTGAATGAAGTGAATTTTCCAGAAAGGCTGTCCAGGGAAAAGTTGCAAAAGTGCTTGTATTTCCTACGTGGACCTTTTCAGAATTTTCTTGACTTCTGTGATCGTCTTACTTCCGATTATGAACTATTTGTCACTGGCCTGTCTGCCCTTTGGGCAAAAAAGAACTTCTTTTGAAAGTGTTTAAAAATTTCCCTACTACTCTTACTAGAAGAAGTCTATTGCTGTAATACCTATTCATTTTTTTAATGTAATGTTTATTGAGTATTGACTAAGTACCTAGCAATGAATCACCTTGCAAGTATACAAATTTGTCATACTCAAACTTTCTTCAAGGTGGCATGGTCTAATTGCTTCTCGGGGTGCTATGTTCTAAGGAGATGTAATCAGGTTGATCCCCTGTTCCTGAGAAAGGCTGGAGAAAATCTGCCTATCTTTAAATGGATTGTAAATCTGAGTAGGAGTTCTTTATGCAAACAGACATTGGAATGGGGAGAGAAAAGATAATTATTTTTAAGCAGAGAAAACACCTGTAAAGTACAGAGATTAAAAACACATGTTCTGTTAGAACAAGTGCTGAAGAAATTAGTGTGTCACTGATTTTTTTTTTTTTATTTTGACAGTCATCACTGCAACTACTGCTAATATTATTAAGCTCTTACTAGTAATATGCATTCTGGGTAATTATGCCTTTTAACCCTAACATCAAAACTGGAATCATATCATCTGCATTGTACATGTATTGCTATCAGGAATTATAAAAGTTAAATACTTTTATAATTATAAAAGTTATATTTAGGTAGAACTAGAAATCAAGCCTACATCTGACTCTGAAACCTATGCTCTGAATTGTGAAAGTGTTTGCTGCACCTCTTTTTCTTTCCAAGCTGATTTCCCTCTTTGACTTTCTGCATGCTAGAAAGCAGGTGGAGTTTATCAACAGGCTCCCATGAACTCAGAATGCCAATGTGGTTTGTTCCATCAGAAATCAGAGGGAAGGGAGAAGATTTGAGTGTTTCATCCTGGGACTCTGTAGGGTAAGGTAAAAAGTTTCAGGCTTTTCTGCCCTCCCACCACTAGGATTGATGATGGATCCCTGCGGTCCTGAATGCATGCCTGATGGCGGGCACCTGGAGTAGGGTGTGGGCATGCGTAAGTGGGAACACCTGGGCTAAGGCTGGCCTTACAAGGGCGGTGTCACGGGGATACTAGTAGAACCACGAGAGCAGCAGAGAACAAGGCCACCAGAGAACGCCGGAGAGCCCAGGTAGAGTGAAGACTTGCTGGGGGCTGGAAGGCCTGCCAGCTTCCCACGCCCCTGCACCTCAGCACCCCAGCCTGCTGTGTACCTGGTAAATCCCAATAAAAGCCTGAAAATCCACTGAGGGCTCCAAGACTCCTCCTTCACCTGTCTGCTCGAATCATAGAGAACCTGCTCTGTCCCTTCCTGCCATTACATTTGGAGTAAGTCGGCAAGATAATCCTATACAGACAGGTATGGAGCCCTCCAAAGACCTCAGGAGGGACTGAGAAGTAGCAGACCGTGAGCCTGTGATAATGCTGGAGGTGTCATGGCAGCACTGGAGGTGGACAAGGTCCGGAAGCTGCGAGAGGAGACCTCGCCTGTAGGAGATGGCCCGAGAGGACCAGCACACGACACCTGAGGCAGCAGAATCATTGGAGAAGAAAGGACCATGATTGGGAGCTCGCCAGTGCTGATGCAGGGAAACTGATGGACTTGGACTAATGGACTTGGACTGACAATCCCGCCAGAAGGTGGAGGAACCTTGGCAGGCTGTTACCTTTTGGGGACCCTGAGGGTCGATGGTATCATTTGTAAACCCCGGGAGATAAAAATCAAGTCATGGCCGTGGGCCTTGGTAGAAGAGCCACAGTTGACTGAGGGAGGAAGTCCTCGCCAAGTTCTTTGCATCCAGGCAGAGCAAAAGTGAACTTAGAAAGGCAAAAGCTGGTGCTCAGATTGGGAACCCCTGAGTGGCTGTTAAGCAGCTTGACTATGTGGAAGAAGGCCAGTGAGTTTCTTAAAATCACCTGTGGGTGATGCCCGCTTGCTGTCGAGTGAGGGTGAAGAGCTGAGGAACCCATCCTTGGGGGATTGGTGGGGAACATGGCTTGGGATGGAGCCCACAGCCGAAGAGGGGACCCGAGAGAGGCTGCATGTGGAGCTTGTATCCACGGATCCCCAACCCATGTGCTTGTGCAATGGGTTGGCCTGTGTGCAGGGGTCTGCGTGTCACATCGGTGGCTATGACAGCCAAGTGTTGGAGTGACCACAGACAGAAACCCTGAGGGTTGGGCAATTACCCCCAAAGTACAGAATTGCCAAACCAAGAGTGAATGCATCTTGGGAGTGGATGTGGTGTGGCTTGTGGCCGAGACCACAGATGGAGAAGGACAGGAAGCCTGACAGCTGCTGGCATGTGAGGGCAGATGCCTGAGTGGTTCCCTCCCTCATATGATATGCCTTTAGCAGCAGAAGTGGTGGATCATCTGCTGGTGCCAATAATCTTGTCTTTTGCCACTAGGTTGGTGCCCTGACTGGACTTACTTGTGTTCTGTTGTATTTTGTTATATTGTTATATATATTTGTTATAGATACTATTTTTGTGGGCCATGGCTGCAGTGTTCATATTGCCAAGAAAAATGTGTATATAATTTGAATATAGAGTGATATAGACTATATGGCAGAAAACCCTGAGGGGGTGGATTGTAGGGTAAGGTAAAAAGTTTCAGGCTTTTCTGCCCTCCCGCCATTAGGATTGATGATGGATCCCTGCGGTCCTGAATGCATGCCTGATGGCGGACACCTGGAGTAGGGTGTGGGCATGCATAAGTGGGAGCACCTGTGCTAAGGCTGGCCTTATAAGGGCGGTGTCACGGGGATGCCAGTAGAAACATGAGAGCAGCAGAGAACAAGGCCTCCAGAGAACACTGGAGAGCCCAGGTAGAGTGAAGACTTGCTGGGGTCTGGAAGGCCTGCCAGAATCCCACGCCTCTGCACCTCAGCACCCCTGCCTGCTGTGCACCAGGTAAATCCCAATAAAAGCCTGAAAATCCACTGAGGGCTCCAAGACTCCTCCTTCACCTGTCTGCTCGAATCATAGAGAACCTGCTCTGTCCCTTCCTGCCGTTACAGACTCCCTTTCTGCTTACATCTTGTGCTGGCTGGGACTCTGAGGCAGAGGTCACTGCTTCCCTCTTGAAGGCCTCTCTATATGTCTGTCACTGAGATTGTAGTAGCTGCTCGTTGCCCTCATCCCTACAGGCTGAGGAGTGATAACGACTCTACCATATCTTCCCTTGTGGTTTCCCTACATCCCACAGTTTTGTAAATAGGTTCTTTATTAAACTCTCCTCAAATTATCCTAATTTGAAAGTGCCATCTGCTTGCAGTTGGCACCAGATCAACATTTAAGAAGTTACTGTTATTATCTAAGTGAGAGCTGATGAAAGTCTATTGTAGCAGTAGCAGCCGAAATGAGGGGATAAAATGGATTCCAGAATGATGTGAGAGAATTCTGAATTTGAAAAGAGCACTACAAAGAAGGAACAATATTGATTCTTAAGGTTTGAATTTTATAAAGGAATTAAAGGAGGCCTTTTTTTGGCATCTCATAACATTCTATATAGAAAACACTAATACTTTGTTAATGACAAGATGGAACAAAATACTGACCACTAATTTGCTACCAGAAGTCAGGATTTAGAGGGATTTCACTGCATGTGTTGAACCACCTTATTATATGAGCCACGATATAATAACACGTGGAACCATGCTATTCATTTACGGATGGTGGTGCTTCAAATAAGCAATTACTGGTATACTAATGAAATAGATACAAAAATAGTAAGAGGGTATCTTGTCAGGTAAATCATGAGATAGAGTGTATGGACCCCCTCAATCCTGGTTCTGAAGTTGTGGGTGGTCAGGGAAGTTAGGAATGAGATCAACAAATGGCATATCTCCCCTACTAGGAGATTCTCTGCAGTCAAACTCCAAATCCTGGGATGGGGTAGATGCAAAAGAAGTATTGGCTGCACAAACACTGGCAGATTGGCTCACTGCTGCATGTCTTGTGTGTTTCCTTAAACTACACAAGTTTGCACCAGACTGGAGCAAGACTGAGCGGACTCAAGGTCAAGTGATCATTCACACAGACAACCCGGCTCTGAGTTTTTTTGTCCAAGCTTATGATTCTATCACATGATCAAGATGCCTATTTTCATCGTGTTCTGTAGGAGCAGGATTCTGGACTATTTGAGGAAACATCAGTGCTTTTTATGTGTCTCTCAAGTTGAAGAATATAAAATAAGGCGGGTATAAAACTAAAAGAAATTACATTATTAAATTCTCTTTCCCACTGAGTTTCTGTTTTGTGGCTCAAAAAGAAAAAGAAAGGAATTGCAAAAAATCAGTGTTAGTTTCTTTCTGGAGTTTAAAATGCATTTTGATTTATAGTCTCAAGGATAATATATTGGGAATGGTTTCCCAAATTAGCACATCAATTACTTAAATCAAATGGGTAGAAATAATTGCCCTGAAATAACCTTTTATGAGGAAAATTTTATAGGAGATAAAATATCTATGGTCCCTTTGACTTATACAGGTGCTATATTAATTACTGAGGTGTAAATTATAGAGGTGAAGAGTTTACACTTTCCTTGTGTTGAGCATTCTGATAAATGAGTGTCTAATGTGACAGGAAAATATAACATAATGAATATCTTATTATGCTTGAAGGAAAATAAAAAAAAAAAAATGACTGACACTGTGCATTTTTTTTTCTTCAGGTAGGAATAAAGAGCAGTCAGTTCCTGGCCTGTGATATTCCAGTTAAGGCATCTGCCTGACAGCATGTTGGCACCAGCATTGAAGGAAACGATGGACTTCAGCTCCAGGTGAGTCCCATTCTCCAAAACACAACATGTACCTCTTTCCAACTTGTACCACACAGTTCAAGAAGTGATTCCATCAAGCCTTTTACCCTTTCACAATGCTGGCCTATTGCATTTCTTTAAAAGATAAGTTTTTTAATTCTGCAGCGCTTTAAGGTCAATACACACTCATCTTTCTCTTAAATGATAAAACAGGTAAAGAGTTTCCTTCTTAGCTGAGTGTCAAAATGCCTGAACTAGAAGTGAAAGGTGAAACATGATGCAATATTTTGGGTAAGGGGTGTGGTGTGTTACTTGTAGAAGCCACTAAGAGTGGGAACCCAGGGAAGCCAATGTTACTATTAAGAATTTCAAAGTATCATGCTGTTTCATAGTTTTTCTCAAGTTCAATAATAGTCATTAACATAGCCATATGTATAATAGTATTAAAATATAATTTGCAACAGTGGAGTGAGTGATCTGTTTTAAAGGTCTTTATGGTAATTTGCAAAACTCTCATGAGTGGCCTTTGCCTTCTTAATAAATGGGTGCCTAACAGCCAGGTTCCTGAGGACCCCACATTTTCTCACTTCCAGAATTGTGCAATTACAGCAGGCAGATAACACTCCTTGATTTCTAATTTTCAAATGACAAGAGGTCAGACTAAGAGTCTAAATCTATTTTCTGCAGATTCCAATTATGATCCTCCCTACAAAATTCATAACCTATAAGTTACTGTATGCATTACCCAGAGATATTAATATCAAACTTTTGTTAGTTGATTAAAGTAATAAGCTATAAGTTTCATGAATGTAATATATAGATTATAAAATTTTCATGCTTTTGATATTTTGCAAGGTGTACTTACATGTGTCACTGTAATTTATACTAAATCTCTGCCTTTCACAAATTCAAAGATTAATAAAGGAAATAAACTTGACTACTAATGTAAGTGCTATAAAAAATGTTACAAGGGAAATATAGCTATTCATTCTATTTATCAAACATGGGAATCCCTCCTTTTGACTTAGCAATTCTATTGAAGTGAGTTATGTAAGAAAAAATTCATAACATCTGAAAAGATTTAAGCAAAATGATATTTCTTATCAACTGTTTCAATAGCAATGCAAATAATAAACAGCCCAAATATTTAATTATGTGGAAAGTATATGGTAATTTTTTCAAAGAATGAAATTCTATAGAACTATTAAGACAAAGGCCTTAGAAGAATGCTTATAATATGGAAGGGAGTAGCAGGTGTCTTTTTAAATTCTGTCATTTACATGTCCCTATAACCATGGGATTACATTTCTGCTCTTCTTTATGTGTACATGCTTCACTCACCCTCTACCAACCTTCCAGGCCATTGCCATATTGGCCTATTCTCCCATGCCCTCTAGTAGCCAGCATATTTTTAACAAAGTCTGAAAATTGCTCTGTTTTGCAAATACATGTACTTTTATGTTATTTGTATTCCATATATAAATGAAACCATCTGATAACTATCTTTTACCATCTGAATTATTTCACTTAGCATAATCACCTCAAGGCACATCCATTTTGTCCCAAAAGGCATTTTTTTTTAAAAGATTTATTTATTCAAGCACTGGGTACAGTCAGAAGTGTGGGAGGGTGAGAGAATTCACCAGAGCCAGAGCGGGGAGCAGAAGAGGCAGACTGACGAAATACACTGCTGAGGGGAGCAGTGGGCGCCAGGTGAGGTCTGCCGCACCATGTGGGACCCTTGCTGGCAGCTGGGGATCGAACTGGCGCTGCAGAGGTCACGGGCAGCTTTGCAGCCCAGTGCTCAACTGCTGCGTCACCAGGGGAGGCCCCCAAAAGGCAATTTTATCTCTTTTTGAAAATGGCAGAGTATTCCATCATATACATATTCCACAATTCCCTTATCCAGTCATCTGTTGTTGAGCACATAAGCTGGTTCTGTGACTTGGCTATGGAAAGTGCTGCTATGAACATGGTGAATAAAACCTTTTCAAATTCCTTGGATGAATACTAGCAGAGATAGTGCTGAATTCTCTGGGGTTTCCATTTTTACTTACTTTTTAATGAATGACTATAATGTTTGCCTTAGAGGATGCACCAAATTGCATTCCCGCCACTAGAGGATTAGGGTTCCTTTTTCTCTGTATCCTTACCAACACTTGTTCGTTCCAATATTTTTGATACAGGCCATTTCACAGAGGTGACGGGGTATCTCATTGTGGTTTTGATTTATGTTTCCTTTATAATAAGTGATTTTGTACAATTTTTCACGTGCCTTTAGGTCATCTGAATGTCTTTAGAAAAGAGTCTATTTAGGCCTTTAGGTCATTTTTAATTAGGTTGTCTGTTTTTGTTGTTGGATTGTCTGAGTACTTTGTATATTTTGGAAATGTCTTACAGGATGCCATTTCTGTACTAATGGAGAAAAACTATATAGAAGGAAAGAGACCTACGTGATAACTTTAATTTTTTCTGTTTTTCCCTTTGCTTTTATCTATTTTTACTATAATCAGAACACATAAAACTTAATCCTGAAAAATAAGTCATTGATGATTTTTTCATAAGAAAAATAAAGGATTATAGGAAAATATTCACCATATTTTTGAGGAAAGAATAAATATCAAGTTACAAAACATAATTGAGGTTAAATCCTGTAGTTTTGTAAAAGTAAATAAAATTTATAGATAAGATTTTATTAGTTTAAGAAAAATATAAAACTCTTAAGTAAATGGCAGTTTGGGGGAGTAAAGATAATTCCTTTTTTTAATAAATGTGTAGTCTCCAAAGAAGGAATGAAAATTTAAGAAGTGCCTTGAACATTAAATACATAGAAATATTTTTAACTAGTATTATTGATTATTTTTGACCAGTTCAAATGGATAGATAGCTATATTATATTCACATATACTGTTCAGCCTTTCATTTTGTAGAAATGTATAGCATAAATAAACACATGAAGTACATTTGAATATAAATGTATTCAGTGCAATTGAATTAAATGCAGTCTTCTACCATACACTTGACTTTGTAAATACTGCTGTGTTTTTGACAAAATCACATTGTGTAAGTAATCACAATTGAAATATATTGTCCCAATCTTTAGAATTTATATTTTCAGAATTTTTTTTATCTAATTTCAGTGATTCATGGCTGAGTTGTTCATTTATCTTAAAAAACCACAACTAATTTTTCATGTGAACATCTCATGTAAACAAAATAAAGAATACTGGTAGCATTTGAATTCATAGACTTCTCTGCACCTATTTTGCCCCATGTACTGGTTTCTGAGACACTTTCTTTAGCCCTTATTATTCTTATTGTATATTCTTTAAAAAAAAGATTTATTTATTGATGCATACAAGAACTGGGGTACAGGCTAGAGATGTAGGGGCTGAGAGGATTCACCAGAGTCAGAGTGAGGAGCAGAACAGACAGATTGACTGAAACACACTGCTGAGGGGAGCAGCGGGCAAGCTAGGAGAGGTCTGCTGTGCCATGCGGATAGCTCCCTGGCCGGGGATTGAACTCTTGCTGCAGAGGCTACAGAAAGCTTCACAGGCTGTGTCTTAACTCCTTGTGCCACCAGGGAGGGCCTCTTATTGTATATTCTGTGGAATGATCACACTAACATCCACAGCTTCATTATTACCAAATTTATAACATTACCTGGACCTGCACTCTATTACTAGATCAATATACCAAAAGAACCACAGATACCACCTCACCTATGCTGTATTTCCTGCCTCAGTCCTTTAGCTCTCATATTAATAGGGCCTCCTATTTCTACCCTCCCCAACATAAAGTCTATAAAAGCAAAATCCTGCTGCATAGAGGTGTGTAGATGAGGGCTTTCCAGATTACCTGAGTAGGCCAGCATTACCCTTAATAAATGGGAGAAGGGTCAAATCTGTTAATTAACATCAATAGCAACTACATAACATCAATAACAACTACACATTACTAATTCATATCAATTATTTTCCTTTTTGTATAATCTATGAATTTACTCTCCACAATTCATTCTTTTTTATGCTTTCCCCTCAACATGTTATAAATGTGTGAGCTACCTAACATGAAGTAGATACTAGAATAATGACATAAAAATGAGCACCAAGGTAGTTTAGAGTTGTTAATCAAAATAGGTGTGGAGGGGGCAGGGATGGTGGGAGAACATTGTTGGTATTGGTTGACCTGGGCTCAAATACCTATCCTGCCTTGAATGAGTTATGTAGTCCAGAGCATAATGCTCTTTTCAAGTCTGAGGTATTTTGTTTTTTTTTTTTTTTTTTTTTTTATTATTATACAAGAGCTGGGGTATAGGCCAGAGGCACAGGAAGGTGAGAGGATTCACCAGAGATAGAGCAGGGAGCAGAACAGGCAGACAACTGAAATACACTGCTGAGGGGAGCAGCGGGCACAACAGGAGAGGTCTGCTGCACCATGTGGAAATCTCCCTGGCTGGCCTGGGAATCGAACCCGCACTGTAGAGGCTGTGGACAGCTTCACAGCTCTGCGCTCAACCCACTGCACCACCGGGGAGGCCCCTCAAGTCTCAGGTTTAAATGACTAGTTTGTCCTAAATTCTCCCTATTCTGAGTCAACTTATAATTGTGGAAGACTTTTATAAATATTGAAGCCTTTTTTGGGTGTGAACATTGATGCTACCAACCATAAATGATAGATTCAACTTACAAAAAAACATGTATATGCATATATGTGTGAGTGTGTCTGTATATGTGTGTGTGTATGTGTGTGTGTATTTATATATGCATGTAGAGGCTATTTCAACTGAATTAAATCTTAGATTCACTTCACTAAGAAGTGAATCTTCTTAGTGAATATCTTCTCCAGCTGATGTAATGACTTATAGTGAAGTTTGCAAATAAAATACAATTCACATCAGTTAATGTCAATTCTGATGATGTTGGTAGACAGAGAGCTGTCCAAGTTATTAATGTTTTCACTAGATAGAATTGTCTTTGTTGCTAGTTCTATGATGAAATAACTCTTTGATTTTGAAT